AAGTTATGAGCCACTAAGTGGGAGGACTTGACTTATAGCCATGAATTATGTGCTTGAGGACCTCCCACTGACACTAATGGGAGTTGCACGCACAAAGACAGAGCAGCACATGGCCACTGAAGTAAAGGAATCATCTCATTCATAACTTAATTGGAGGATCCAAACTTAATTGGATCCTTACTCGGAGGATCCAGATAACTTACTTGAAGGATCTAAATCCTTACACAGAAGGACTTCAGTAGTGGCAGTGAACTTGGATTTAGGGGAAGGGAAAAAAGGCTCTTTCATAAAAGCAAACAGAAAAACTTACTCAGAAACTAACTGAACAGCAAGCAAGCCTATAGGAAATCTTGTCATAGCGCGGGTTTTTCTACCATCTTCTTAGCACAAGAATAAATGTTTGAACTTTGTGCAGATTTTCAGTCTAGGTGTTGTTGAGAAGAGCTGCAAAAGTCACAGTGTCAAAGTCTAAGCACCACTGATCACATCCTTCTTTCAGTGTAAGTGGGGGCACAGAGAAAACCTGGTGCTGCTCCTGGTGGCTTTTGAACGTTCAGCTAGAACTCAGCTGCTTCTCTGCTGTGGCAAGTACCAAAGCACCTTATAAGTACTTATACCTTATATAGCCATCCTTACCATCCTAGCATTTTGAAGGAACACCTTTGTGGTCTTCAGAGTGACTGCTCAAATCAGCAAATGTTTCAAAACATGCCTATGGTTTAGCCAGTCTAACCTACAACATCTTGAAGTTGTTCTGGATGTTAACTGCTTGTTAAATTTCTTTGAGAAAATACAGGCTGCACAAATTATCTGATGACTATTCCTGGGTGTTGTCAGTATGATGGACTTTCCAATTTTCTATTAAAAACAAAGCAAACCAAAAAGAAGAGGGATCAGAACACCTTGGGCATGGCATATCTAAACTCTTTTGCCACTGAAGACAATGACATTTTATAGGTTGGAAGGAGAGAAGTAACAGAACAGAAGTTAATGCACAACCCTCAGCGTTTTTTTCATGAAGTGAGCCAACATACAGGAAACAGTGATCCAGCGTAGTTGTACTGAAACTTAAAAATACATTTATTCATTGTTTATAATATCTATCAAACACAAAGAGGACAAAGAGCAGCAGTTTTATGCTTTGCACTTTGATATCCTCAAGAAGTGTAGAGACCTAGAAGAAAAAAGCAAATTTAGACTGTGAGATTAAGAGTGAGCGTAGGCATCCTGAAGATGAAGAAAAATTTTCAATATATACCAATCCTTCGGGGACCTACCCATCAAGAGGCTGGTAAAGCATCTGGGAATAGCACGTACACTCCTGAAGGGATGTGCAACACTTTTGAACGATGAGGGGATGCAGCTATCCCGTAACTACCAATGAACAGGGAAGTAGAGAAGTATATTACCTATATGAGAGAATGAGTAATGCATAGGAAGGGCCCAGCAGTCTAGGCCAATTTCAGGAGTGTGACAGAGCACAAAGTGTAGCCCCTCTATATGAAGGGATACTGGGTGGAAACTGTTGATTGCGATAACGGCACTTTAAACTCTATCAGCATGGATGGTGGGATCAAAGTAGTATCTAATGGTGTCACCAGATTCAAATCCACTAAGATGGTTTTGTAGGAGGAAGGAAAATAAGATTCAGTTTTGAAACTATCTTCTCATGTAATTATTTTTTGGTTTTTTGTTTCTGTTGGTTGGCTAGTAATTTACTTGAAAGATTCCTGAGTATAAGCATGTCCTACTCTTACAGGAATTACAATACACTGAAGCACTATTTGAAGAGAACATGCCATACTGAGTTTGCAGCCCTCTGAGGTAGGGACTATGCGCTCTTCTCATCCATCTCAAATAGATCTGCAATTTATTTATCTATGATTGTTTGCAGTGGTTATAAAACTTGGGCTTTCTATTTGGCTTACTGTACAATACCACAAAACAGTTTTGTTCATGACAGTCTGTATTTACACACCTTATGTTTGCTCAGCACTATAAAGCAACAACATGAAAACAAGCAGCTACAGCATTTATTACACTCTCCAGGTGATTAAAGTCAATCAGCTTTTGGCCTCGAGCCATAACATAGCTGGTTACCTTCAGAAAGAGCCACCCCAAGTGCACAGGTTGTCATCATATCGTGATGGCTTATGATCCAGTGACATGAGTGTGGTGCACAGTTAAGACCATAGGAGATGTCAATGGAAAAATAGAAGAATGCATAGAAATTTTAGATAAACAGTGTTGAAAAGCATAAAAAACTGTATGGATTTTATACAGGTACTCTGTCTCACTCCTTTCTGTTTCGTGACACAAGAGCATTATCCAGACAAATAAATAAGCTCCAAAAATGCATATAATTAAGCAGCATAGTTGAAAGAATTATGATAGAGAATCTCTCTCTCCTGCTCTGTTAACTGGCAATGCCAATACGTGACTAATAATGCAATCTGATTAAACATTATTAAAATGGAGAAGATAATATGCTTAGTTTTGTTGTCTTCTACAGCTGTTCACTACCACTATATGATACAGTATAGTGGTATAGTAAGAAGTTTTAAAAGTGTGCGTATATAACCCTCCACCCAGAACCTTCCAATAAACAAACCCGCTTTCCTATAAAATGTTTTTGCAATGAAATAGCCGTTGATTGGAAAGTTAAAAACCGAGCTAATGAAAACAATTTCAAATTGGCATCCTCTAACCTCGTCCATTCTATTTAATAAACCGTTGTTGCCCTCTAGTGTTCAAACACAGCTTGTAAATGCCCCTCCAGAAAGATCCAAACTGGTCACCTAATAATTCCCCGTTTGCTCTTAATCCAACAAGACAAATGGATGGGGAAAAAAAAAAAAAGTGTTTCAGTACACCTGCCTAGAACCTACTTTTCTTTGCTCAAGCATAAAAAAGGATTTTTAATGTAAGAACATTGTTGTTTGATTCACTCAAAAATTGTGAAAGGCCACTCTGCTCCGTATCCTCACCAAATTAGTCATGGTACCCATGCACCTCTCTGCTTTACTTCTGCCATTCACCGTGCTTGATATATGTTGCTGTTTGGGTTGCAGGGTGATGTTTCTAATGATACCAGCCAAATACATGCCCAGTGCTCTGAACGACCCTGAGATATGTCTGCCTGCTGCCTCTTGAATGTATCTCTACTGTACTGGACCGTATCGATTAATACCAACCATCTCTCCCTCCAACAAATTTGTTATTACGGCAGAAATGCACAGTGAGGATTCAGGGGTTGTTCTCAGCACCTCTCCTGCAATAAGCTGCCACGATGGCATCGGCAATGTAGAAGGCTTCTCACAAAGTTGTAGCTCTTTTGAGAAGATTACAGTCAACCTCAGATCTGCGCCTGCATTTTTACAGCCCACAACTGGGCCTAGTACTTATCATTTTATTAACTCATTTCCCAGAAATGTTATTCCCCTTCGTCATGTTCCTTGACCAGAAACCTCTGAAAATAACTATTAAAAAAAACCCCAAAAAACCTGAGGTTAAACAAAGTGCAGTCAACAGACAAACTGATGAGATACTTTTCTTTTGTAGTTTTGTTCACTTTTAAGAGGTTATCCAGAATGTTTTTCATTTAAGCATTGTCAGACTTAAGCAGTATAGAAGACAGCTGGTTTTGTACCTATAAAGCAATTTGCAGCCCCCATATAGTAAGAATTCAACTTCTTGACATAGGGAACACTGACTTTTCTTTGATCTTTGAATAATGGAATTTTCAGAGAATTTTCTGCATGAAGTTATTGTTAGAGCTCTCAGAAAACTTGCCTCGAGGCCATTTTTGGATCACACCTGCTTCCCACTGCACTGAGCTTGACAGATCTAAGAACCTCTTGGACGTGAGTCACGTTTCGTATTTTGTAATAGAATTATTTCCTTGTATTCATGAGGCACCCTTCCTTCTCTGTCTTGATGTTTGCTGTTGATTATGCCGCCTGCCACATGGATACTTTGAAATCTAGTCTTTCATTCTAAAAACAGGTTTAGACTGGGTGTATGTGAAGGGAAATGTCACTAATACGAACTGGAAATTGTGTAGCGAGCAGCAGATGCTCACACGTGCTCTCACTCATCTCATGTTCCAGAGGCGGGGAAACATATAGAGCAGCTATGCTTATTACCTGTCACATGAAGATGACCCTAGAAGTGAAGAGGGTGTGCTTTGAGAGCCGGTAAGAGCTCTGTGTGTTCAGGAGGGACAGCGAGTCCTGCACTGTTGCGAGCAGCCTGGTGAGGGAAGTAGGAGAACGCCAGAAACCTGAAGATAATGCAACCTTATTCATCCGCTCCTGCTGACTGCAGGAAACTTCTTCGAGGTTGGCACCCTCCTACATAGCCACCATTTTCCTTTAAAACTTTCTTACTTCTCTTCAATCCCTCTAGATGTTCAGCAAAGGGAGACCACACCTTTTCTGTGTCTTCTGCCGATAACACAGCTGTCATCTTTGCTAAGCCCCCTCACAAGTTTCTGCCTGCTCTGTGATCAGGTGTTGAGTCTCAGCTGTTAGGGATTTAGGTGTATTGGAACAGATTCTCTCTCGTGCATGTGCCAAGTCACTTGGTCATGATGTTTGTCACAAAAGACCTTGATTGCAGCTTGCTTTACTTTGATATGATAAAAACTCTTTCTCTCTGATACATACCGCAAAAACCCAATGTGCTACAGGGTGGCGAGCTGTTTGGAAAAGGCAAACTCAAATTTGCAGCACGTGGTTTTAAGGATAGCTTGCGATGTATGCAGAAAAAAGCATTAAAGATACATATATATCCGTAAACTATGTGTAGCTAGGGAAAATTAAGCCAACTATGTTATGTGTACTACAATTTTTACTGTTTGTACCTAAAACCATTTGGACGCAAAGCTCTACTACTAAATACTCCTTTAAGGCTACAGACAGAGTAAACAGAATTGCTAGACAGTCATGTCACACTAGGGCATTTGGGTGCAAATAGCATTGAAAACACTCACACACTGCACAGGTACTCAATTTATTAGGTGTACTTCTATTCCACTGATCTTGTCACAGTACAGATTAAGCTCTTCAAATGTTTTTCCTCCTTAAATATAAGACCTTCTTAGCTTAACTTGGATTTTAGTGTTTATTTTCCAGATTTAGTAATAAATCAAAAATGATAGACATTACAGTTCAGCATAGAAAAAGCAGTTCTCTTCTCCACCAAAGCCATCTGCCACTGTCCCATTAGTGGCCAAAAAAGGAATCCATCCTATTCTGAGATTTCAATATCTACTGTTCCATTTCAGAGTTGTCCTCTCAAAGATGAGAGATGCTCCTCACTATCTTATTCCCTCTCCCCATCATACATCAGCATACATTCCATTGATCAAGTAATCCAGCCTGGTATAATGTCTCTTCTGAAGAGATTCATGAATTTTCTTCCCCGTCAGTGCAATAACTAGTAACAAGAATATCACTCCAAAAAGCAAAGCCGCTACAAGGCTGCTTTTTTCTCCCAGCTGAACGACACCTTTCCCTCTCAGAACACTCTCTGGCAGGTAGCTTTCTGAATCAGATGGGTCATAACCCTGAGGGTTGTTTTGGGAAGCCGTGGGGGAATCACTAGTAGACAGAGCGAAACCTGAAAAAGAGAGGAGGGTAACATGGCTGGTATCGTTAGAAGAGACAACTGTTGGCTCAGGAGGGATGGCTGGAGTTCTTAGTCCTGATGGGGCGGTAGCAGATCTGGAATTCGTGGTCACCCGCTTGGTTGTTGAAGTAGAAGCAGAAGTTGTAGGACTGGAAAGAGGAACATGAGCAACAGCGATGGTGGCGGCAGGGATACCAGGTTTAGCTCTAGTGTTTGCAGCAGGCGGATAGGTAGCTGTGGTGGTGGTGACAGCAGTAGGTTTAGCACCACCAGTAGGCAGAGAGGTTGTACGAGATTCCAGTCTGGTGGTACCTGTAGGCAGAGGAGTAAAAGAAGTACTGCTGGGTTCAGGAACACTAGACTGAGTGGTGGGGAATGAAGCAGAGGGGTTTCTGATTCGAACAGCAGAAGACGTATTTGACGGCAGGTTAATTACTTTCTGCCTCGGGATGGGGTCTAAGCTCTCAGGATGTTTTGCCCTTTGAGATTCAGGAAAAACTGTATGAAATTCACTGCTGTCTAAGTGCTTGGCCACGTGGTTCAGGAGTTCAGACGCCCGATGAAAGACAGATTGTTGCAAAGCAGTGGTATGATTCTGATGGCTAGTCTGACTGCGAGAAATAAAGGCTCCAGCATCTGAAGACAAAGAATACCCATTTGAAGAAAAGTCCTCACTTTTGAAGGATGTATCCTCCAGGGCATGGGTGTCTGGAAACACAAAGGAAATACCAGTATTTAGTTATTAAATCTATTTTTTACTACGGCAGGCTTAGTCTAACAATTCGTATTTCTTAGTCAGAGAGAACTAAGGGGGCTCCAGAAAGTAATGACTAATGAAACTGAGGCATCAAAATCTTCCTTTCTTTAAAATATGGTGAGTGACTTTTAAATTCTGTGTCGTAACACCTGTCAGTCTCAAGCCTGGGCACACCACACCCTGACTGCTGCTTCTTACAAAATTCACCTGTCCAGAGCGAGCGTCCCAATCTGATTGTTTTATACTCGTATTGCATGCATGTTAAGTGTTTTATTTAGCAGTGCAATGCAGAGAGTAGGCCCATTACCTTTAAACCATTCTCAGCCTCTGTCAGTTAAGAAGTAGATATTATCAACCTCACTTTTATTTGTCAGATGTACACATTTCCACCTAGCCAAGATGATTATACACTCCCCTTCTTGTAATATCCAAGTGCCCTGTGATTGTTTGATACACTTCAATTCACATACAAAAATTGTCTTATGACACAAGGTGGCAATAATATCCCCATTTTGTAGATCATTTATACCCGTACTGATTTGTAGGAAAGACCTGAGCTCCTACTGCCATGCTAGAAGAAAGACACTGCTCCAAGAGTCTCCAAGGTATTTGCAGCGAAGGCCTCCACAAGAAGCAAACTGCACTTGATCATTTCTCCAGAAGTTGGTATGTATTGCTTGCAAACCAGGTGGGTGAAAGTTATTTAATAGAATTTGGAAGCAGGGCAACAGCATTATGTGACAGAAATTCCATACAATCGATAATCCAAGCAGCTACCTGATTCTACAGAGATATTATAGAGAGACTTTGGGTGAGCACGAGCTCTTGGGAAGACTGGCTGTTATCATTCAGATTTTATATATATATATACACACACATATCTATAATATTTGCATGTGTGTGTGTGTGTATATATATATATAATTGTTATCATTCAGTTGCCGCACTTGTTAACCGTGGAATTGAAATAAATAACAAAAAGTCCATGACATTTTCATTGTCACTTTTTTCTCAAGTAGTCTCACTCATCTCTTTTTTAATAAAAACAAAGAGGTTTGTGGTTTGTACTGGAATTGAAATAAATAACAAAAAGTCCATGACATTTTCATTGTCACTTTTTTCTCAAGTAGAAACTCTTATCTAGAGGTTATCATTCAGTTGCCGCACAGAACATTTAAAAGGGAACATCCTCTCAAGTAGTTCTGACTCTCACTCATCTCTTTTTTAATAAAAACAAAGAGGTTTGTTAACCGCACTGGAATTGAAATAAATAACAAAAAGTCCATGACATTTTCATTGTCACTTTTTTCTCAAGTAGAAACTCTTATCTAGAGGGATGGATTTATTTCAGTTTTATTATACATGCAAAGAAGCCTACTTGGCTGCTATTTTAATATATATTTCCAAGCCTGAAGACTCCACAAAAAAATGAAATGCAAAAAAAAAACCCTCCCCAAAATAACAAACCAAAAAACTAGCAATGCTTTAAACAAGAGCACAGCAAACACTTCACCGAATCACAGACACCAATTTTTATCTTAACCTTCCAGTCAGGCACCAGCTTGTTAGCAAAGTAAGATCCTAAATAGAGATAATGGACTCCAGCCACAAGGTCTGACTTAGAGAAAAGCCATGCTCTGTTTTTAGAGAGTGGCTTTAAGTAACTAAATGTTCAGTTATTAGAGAATCAGAAACTGTATGGTCAAAAACACCCAAACTTCTGCAGCTCTGGACACATTTCCACACCAGCGAGGAAATGACCTGTCACCACCAGGGAGTCAGTCCCCAGCTCACTTTTTCCCTGTTGCCGACGCACTCCCATGGACGCTCCCCCCTGTGCGTTCAAACAAACAGCGGATGCAGTGTGACAGCTACAAAGCACTTGCAGCATGCTATGTCATCTTCAGTTCGCTCGCCTGGGCAACAGCTAGAAAAGCACAGAGCATGCACACAGCATTCAAAGGACGGGTGGAGGGAGCACAGGGAGGCTACGTGACGAGTCCCATACAGGAGTTAAGTATCCCTGCTACTCTGCAGCACTCGGATTAATTAACTGCCTGCACTAACTAACTCTACTTCACATTTTCAGCATCAAACATTGATTTTATAATATTCTTTGTCTCCATTTTAGACTACAAGCTCCCAAATGCAATTGCCCAAAACTGTCACATGCAAGGTACAGCTGGGGTACTAGGATAGATACGCTTGTTGGTAAGAAAGAACAAGGCCACTACACACGTCAACCTCTAAAAAGAGATTAAAAAACCAAAGTGGTCCTGCTGATATCTCAAATCCAATAAGCTGCATCAGAAACCAAACTTCAGGGTTGTCACTCTTAAAAACAAACTAAGCACCTCCTGAGCATACTTTGCTAGAACCCATGAGTACCTTAGTGAGGTGGAAAAGGCAAACACCAAAGTAGTACGTGAAGAACAGAAATCAGAAATGTTATTTCTTTTCAGCAATAGCCCTTTGCGACCGGGACCGGGAAATGTTTTACTTCCCGAGTTGTTTCCATTAGTTACCAAGCCACAAGAATAGTCAAAAAAAGAAAAACAAAATCTCATTACTAACATAGCGTCAGTATTTTAAGTTGCTTTATTACCAAGAGTATCTTTCCCCCTTTTAGTTTGGTTTTCAGTGTAACCACATGCAGATTCTCATGTGAAAAAAACAGAGCTTGAAACGTTTGTCAGTACCCACACTGCTCAGGTGCTACATTTGAAAACTTATCAGGAATGTAAGGTAAACAAGCTAGCATAATCTTTCCATAATTCCATGTTCACAGAAGTTAAAAAATGCAAAATGAAAAATAGATGGTATATGCAATCAAGTTGTTAACTGATCATTACACTATATGCAGGAGGAAAACACAAGCACAATTACATTTCTTGTTTCTTTGAAACACCTATATTCTTCTATGGGAGAAAGAGCTGGAGAAAAAAATAGTTCTAATGATAATTTTACAGGCATGCAATTCATTTGTTGCACATTGCTTTTGCCCAATTCCTATGTGATTGTGCTTGCACAAAAATATTTGGTAACGTTATGTGAGTAACCTTTCTACATATCCTGCTGTCGCTCCTTGCATAGTTCCACTTTGAAAAATCCTCTTTTTCAGCAAAAGTTCAGTCTCTGGAGATATGAAATTTCTGCTCTCTCAAGCAGCCACACTGAAACCACCTTGTGAACCCTTGGCAGGAAGACAGTCAAATGATCAGCTTCTTATCTGAGCCGTTCAAACAGGTCTGGTGCAAGTCAACGTTAGTCAACAAGTAAGACTTGCTATTAAAAATCCCACAGCACATGACTGATAGCGAGAAATTTCCGAGCGTGCAGCCCACATGCCATAAAGCTTTGAGCTTAGTCCGTTTGCATCTGCGCTTCAGGTTCCCTAACTGAAAGCAGAAGATAATGATTACTATTGCCAATTACTCAGTAACATCACAGCGGTGCTCCAAGGCTTGCCCAACATTTGCTCGGTGTTTCTGCCTGTGTGTATATGGTATTCATCAGTGCAGCATGGATCCTTTGAATAGGCAGCCAGCTACAAGGGCATTGTATTTCCATTGCTTTCAGCGATACTCTTCAGTGTTATGTACAGGAAATTTTCCTTCTTGAACATATCAAGATGGAAGCAGCTTCTTTTTGTTTTAAGCAAGGGAAAATTACGAGGAGTTCTGAATCTAATGTGAAGGAATTTCATAAGGATCCGGATGTTATTCCAACTGGGAAGCTGGGCCCACGCAGGAGCTCACCACACACCTGTCCATCCATCTCCCACAAAGCAAAAGAGCAGCATTTTCAAATTATAGTGCTTGGCTTAGAACATTTAACTAAAAACATAACCCCCAAAAATTTTCTGGTCTCGACTGAAAAGTCACAGGTGCAAAGGTCATCTAGTGTGGGGATGGGTGGCTTTTACTATTATTTACCTGTAGTTATCTTGTAGCTCACAAATCCTGTCGCGGGTTTCATTGGACAAGCCTCTGTGCTAGGGCAGTAAAACAGGTAGCAGTTTGGATGCGTGCTTGTCCTTCGAGCATCAAAAATCATCAAATTGCACTTCTTGTCTCCTGCAAAACATGATATATACATATTTTAGCAATAAGAACTTTTATACATCTTGATAATAAGCTCTGGTCTGTTAAATTAGTTTTTCCTTGTGTGAGTAAGAGGAAAAGTACTAACATATAACATTCCTACAGGAAAAACAACCCAGGACTGCGAAAGAATGGCCCAGGGCCAATATATGAAAGGTCACACCTTCCTCTTCCTGTACAGATGAACTTGGGGAAATAATGAGTCTAATCCCTCATCCTCCCCTCACCCGCACTGGTACCACACTGGCACCACTTTATGTAATAATTTCTCGCTTACAAATCCTGATAAATCTGAAAACCTCTTTGATATACTCATAGGGAAGGAAATTATTTCTACACTTTTCCCATCACATCCCAGGAATCTCTTGGCTTGTTGCTGCTTTGGGGGGGTTACTTTTAGCACTGTCGTTTCTACTTGTTGCTGTACCTCCTGCTGCTCCAAGAGCTCGATGCAAACCAGTCACCTCAGAGAAGGGTAAGCACTCTCATTTTTGGCTAAAATTAAACGTAGCGCAAAACGTCAGATACTTTGTAGCACGTCTACTAAATACAACTTACGCATCTTGGAGTTTGGGGGTCTGAGAGTTTTTAACATTTAAAACTACCAGTGTTTTTTACTGCAACTATTTTCCTGAACGCTCTGGGGTCTTTCATTAAGATCTAACATCACACTTGGCAAAACAGGATAGCAGCCGCAAGCTGTTACTAGTCGCAGCGTAATGAAAGGATAAATTAACGTTTCTGTGCTGAATACAGAAAATACCCTTTTCCCAGGCAACTTCAGAAATAATTTCCCAAGCGTTCGTACGCAGGAACAGAAAAGACCGAAGAGGAGCGGGTTACCTGACAGCTTTTCCCCCGAGCAGCAAGCGCGAACGCAAGCCTCTGGGGCCGGGGCGTACACTGGCTCTGCACCCCTGATGCCTTTGGGCAGGGATAAGTTTATATCGATGATGGTATTTTCCATTTTCTCCGCGGAGCACTCTTGACTCAGGGATGGTCTGGGCACCACGCAGGTGATCACCAGCAGGCAAACCGGCCACCGGCTGCTAGCGGGAGACATGGTCACTCGGGTGGGGTCTTCGCGGGGCTGGGATGACGCCGGCCTCGGGGCACCC